CAGGCTGGCCTTGAACTCACAGAAATCCACCTGCCTCTGCCTCCTGAGTGTTGGGTCTAAAGGCGTGTGCCACCACACCTGGCAGGACCTCACTTTTACCTGTTGAACCATCTCACCAGCTCTAAAACATCTTTTCTCATAAACTTTCAAAAGATAGGACCTCAGTATGTTCTCAGAACCCAGAGGTAGGAGGAGATGGGAAACAACTTTCCCTGAAGATGCTTCAGAAAGCCTCCCACAATCTGACACTTCCTGGAGACCACAGTAGGACCACAGTGATTGATCTCTACTGCCCCTGCCCAGGTCCTCATCCCTCAGGCTTACCCGAAGCAGGAAGCCATCTGGGCAGGTGAACTGGTCATACCAGATGGCCTTGTACATGATCAGCACACATCCCAGGAGTGCCATGGCAAAGGCGATCATCCTAGCAGTGGGCACCTGGCACAGGGAAAGGAATGGAACTTAGAGCTGGTGAGCTATGGGGCTGTGCACAAGACCACCATCCCCACATCTTGTCTCCTTCCCTGGGGTCATTCCAAAGGTCTGGGAACCACTCCTCAGGGGCCCAGCTTTGCTGGGATTCTAAACACATCCATGACCAGGTAAACTGCATTTGGCCAGCTAAATTGCGTTCAATTGAACCAGGGGTGCTGTGGGAACTGGTCGGACAGCTCCCTTGCTCTTTGACACCCACAGAAGCTGGTGACCAGCATGGCACAGGCTACTGGCTGCAAGGAGCATGGCGTTGGGAGGCTCCCAGTGTGGCCGGTGTATTAGTACCACTCTGGGCAGATCTGTGGAAAGAGCAGCAAAGCCTATCACCTTTAAGTGGGCACTTCCACTGAAAAAAAATATGGAAAAGGGGCAGATGTTACTTCTGAAAAGATTTAGAAACAGCTAATGAAAAAGGGTTATTAAAGCCATCACTAAAGTGGTTAAAGGAAGACGAGAAAGGATATTTGTCAGATAAATTTCAGAAAAGTTCATATCTGTCTTACACAGAAAGCCCACAAGGAGCTAAACAATGACCAGGTGGGAAACAGGTGCTTTCCAGGGGAAGGATCTCTTAGGAGCTCACCACTCCACAGGTTGCCTCAGAAGAAGGCTGGGTGATGATGGGCAGTTGTGGGGCGGTGGGGGTGGGTCAGCCAGTGTTAAAAGGTGACCTCTGTCTGGATGGGATGAACCCTTCCTGAGGAAACCTAAGTGGGACCCAATCAGGCACAAAGTCTAGGCAAGCCTTGCCTGAACTCTTTGTCCACCCTTTCCCCTGCCCTGACCCTCTTCCCCGCGCCTCCTCAGTGAGGCATGAGGAGCTTACCCTGCGCCCTTCCTCTGGGTGGCTGCAAGCCAGCCTCTGACCCTCCAGGTCTGCAAACTTCTTTGACTGATCTGGGGAGGTGAGCTGGTATTCTGTCTGTGTCTTGATTAACACCTGAGGAAAGGGATGGTGTAAGGCGTTGCTGTAAGGGACCCAAGAGGGCCCTGAACTGACAGAGTTGGGAGCTGGGGTTCACTCTGTGGCAGTGGTATCTGCCAGGACTGTCTGGTGGTTAACAGAACTTCAGAAGCTCTAAGAAGAAGCCAAGGGAAGGTGGATGCTAAGGATCTTATGGGGACCAGGGCTGTCCAAGGTCTAGCTTGGCCATAGGTGGAGTCCCTCATTCTGCCAGTTGCCTTCCATTCAAGGTGTTGGCTTTCCTACATGAACTTCCCCCTTTTTCTCCATACCTTGACCTACTCCCCCAGGAAGTCTTCAGAAGGATCAGGCTAGACTAGCCTTGAGCTAGGCTCTTTGCTTCTTACTGATTTCTCCTGAAGGCCTCATCTTCCTCAGTCACCTGCCCAAGAGCCCCTATTTTGAGCCCTAACCTAGCGCCCTGCCCAGAGGGGGAAGAGTGATAATATAGCTTGCTGGCACCTGCTAGACCTTATCTTGGGCTGAGTGCTCAAATTCTCAGGAGATCAGTGGCCAATTCACCATTTCAGATGAAGAAGGGGCTCTGGATGTGAGAGAGGTGACCAGGAAGTTACACTTGCCTGTGGTCAGTTTGGGTTTCTGCCCATATTGGCGTTTCCTCAGTATACTTTGGGGGAGGCAAGATCTACATAAACCTCACCCATACCTCTTTGTTTCCAGACAAGTCTGAGAAGATCTCCCACATTGGCCAAGGCCACTCACCTGGTCCGGGAATGGCGGCTGGAGCTGGCTGACATCCAGGGGGCTCATCAGAGGGACACTGTCCATAGCAGCCCCATCCTGGTTTCCAGGGTCTTTTCCTGGCTTCCCTGAGAAGCTGCAGCCCAGCTTCACCATGGTGGATGGTGGTGCTTGTCCTGGTTCAGAAGCAGAGACAGAATCAGCACCTATAGGTCACCCTGTGGATACCCATCTAGCTGGTTCTGGAGTAGCGACCCAGACTGATCCCAACCCAACATTCCTCACATAAGAGCCAGGGAAGAGCTGTGGGAGGTCCAGCTCAAGGCTTCTAGTGCCTTTCTGACCTCTAGGCCCCTGAGCAATGCAGGATGGTGCCTCTGACTAGAGACTATTCCAATACAGAACTGAAGAGTCTTCCATGGCCTGCTTTGGAGTGTGCTCTAAGGGCATATACTCCACTGAAAGGAAATGATATAGGCAGTAGTTGGGAAAGTTAGGCTGCTAGAGTTAGCAAGTGAAAATACAGGAAACCCAGGTCAATGTGAGTTTGTTGACCATTACTACTTTGTGTGTGTGTGTGTGTGTGTGTGTGTGTGTGTGTGTGT